ACCCTAACCTTTCCATTCACTCTCCCTCAGCTAGCCGCTGCATTCGCTCTCTGCGCTTCCCGCCCCATCCTTCTCTCTCATCGCCGCCGCCCCCCCATCTTCGTCCGTCATGGCGCGCCGACCGCCTAACTCCACCGCCTCCACCGCCCAAGACCGCCGCCACCATCGCCCAAGACTGCCGCCACAGAGCCTGCCGCTTGGCGCCCGGCCGCTACTGCCGTGCAGCCCTTCAGACGTCTGTGACTGTAACACGGGGCCCCCCAGATCTGCCTCCCTACCGCACCAAGGAGCTTCGCCGCCCGCCCCCCCCAGATCTGCCTCCCCTCCCTCTTCCACTGTCATGGCGGCCACCGCCGCCCCAGATCTTCTTGCGGGAGATCTTGTCGTCCTGGGGCCTGGGCTAGGGTTACCGCCCCCATTTCGCGCCTCTCCTTCCTCCTCTGGTTTGGTGCGCTCTCTCCTCTTCCTCCCCATTGAGCTCGCTTGACCTATACGGTCAACCTCCACCGACAGTATATCTCACCTGCCCCCATCTCCTGCCCCTCTCTATTGAATCGTTTGTGGATTTTGTTTGTCGTCCACTGATATTAGGGTTCATGTTCTTAGATACTTAGATCTGGGCGACATTTTTGTTGATCTACATGTTTACATTTGCTTTCGTCTTGTTCCGCCCTCAGATCTGTGTGATGTGCACCTCTTATTTGTTGTACACATGTGTTGTCGCCTAGATTTTGCACATGATGATGCCTAGTCCGATTTACAAACTGAGCAAAGTGCCTTGGTCGATGATGTTTACTTAACCCTAGGCGCTGGAGGAGCACCCTATGGTGTGGCAGCCGCATCTTGCTTAAGTCCATAGCTCTGATTCTAGTGAGGGTTCTTTGTGCTGAAGCATATAGAATTTATGACACTGATGTTCAATCTCTTGATATGACTATGATGTTCAAACTCATGATATCTATTTGGCCAATGATGCAACATGAAAAATAAACTCTGAGGTGGCTGCAATTTGTTTTTTGTGCATTCTGTATGATTCTCATGACTGTCATCAAACCATGGGACATGATCTTAGTTTTCTTCTATCTATTTTTTTTGCCTTGGCAACCACCTATGATTGAGTATCTGGAAATTGTACCAACATATCATTAAGCTGAGGCCTCACTTACTTTGCCAATGATGATATCATATTAAGCATGCCAAGAACTGATGACCTTGAGCTTGTGTTGAGGTAGTGGAACTTTGTTTCTTACTCTGTTTGTTTCTTATGCTCCAAGCTCAAGGTCAACCGAGGAGCAACTGATATCTGAGGCCAATGTGTTGAATACTACATCTGAATTGCTTAGCATCTGAATTGCCCACTGGTGTTGCAGCCAGATTACCCCAGGAGTCTTCTGCGGTAGATTACTCCATGTGTCTAATTCTTTTGGGACTTTCAGATGCTCATCAGACTCCATCTTATCTTTCTCACCCCAACTGGATCCTGCATTAGACTTGGCATTAGACTGTACACTTCTACTTGGCATTAGACTGTACACTTCTACTCCATCTTATCTTTAAGGCCTAAGCTCTTTCTGCTCTTTGCTTGGCTAGAACATGCTGATGGTTTATTTCCTTTTGCAACAAATATAACATGTAAAGATAGCCTACTTATTGAAGACTATAATGCTTGATGTTTCTAGTTTTCTATGCAATTGAAGTTACTATGCCTTTTGGTTAGATCCTCGAATGTATTATGAACAAAAGCCGCTAATGTCAATTTTAGGTTTGAGGTGAAATTGACGCTCCATTGTTGTCAGGAATTATTATTTTAGCCATATGGATATCTATATTATGCCATTGATGCTATGCTATACATAAATATATCCTTGTTACCCAATCAACAAACACTAATATCTTCAACAACAATCATATATACTTCAGTTCAGGATCTTTGGTTAGTAATTAAATTCCTCTGCTAGATTTGACATGATAATCCTCGCAGTCTTGTTGATTGCTAATACAAGTTTTTGCTCATTGATATGAATGTATACCTCAAATTGTGGAGAAGACCTTCCAACTTTCCCGAGCAGATAGAGAAACAGTCCAGAGACCATAATATGATCTCCAGGTTTGCTCTCTCCTCCACAACCTAAGTTTCATTTGCCTCAATCCTGATAAAAATCTTGCACACTTTATTAATGGCATGATGCTGCTATGCCATAAATAAATCTTTTAGCTATGGATGATTATGTTCTTTCTTTAACATAGTTAGCTAGTGAAGCGCATGGTTTACTTCTACATCGAGCTGGATTGTGGCATGTATCATGTCATTCTTGCGATGTGGTGTATGTGAGGATCCATGGATACTATTTTCTCTTTTTTGGCAGAAAGCGTCTTGCCTTAAATTGGTTGAACACAAAATGGCATTATATTAATAGACCATTTCCCCCAAAAAATTGAATAACACATTAGCACATAGCCCTGTAGTTGATTTGAGGCAAGTTCATGATGCAATAGCCATTGTCAGGTTTTATCAAGAGATTTCTAGTGCTGATATGAAACATGCTATGAGGCAAGATTCAAGTTATACTCTTCTATCTGTACATTCAGAGATATAAAGCAATTGGGTGCACATTTATAGCATATGGAGACCTAGTTTCAGTTTTGTAGTTGATATGATAATTTGATCGCAATGTTGTATTACTGCGGCCCTCAATTGCGACTGTGCGTGACTCCTCCACTCATCCTCATCGATTCCAACCAGCGATTTGATCTGGTTTCCATGACGCTTCTTTGCTGCAGTTGTTCAGATCCGCAACGACGTACTGCGGCGTGGGCTGGACCGGCTGCGAGGACGAGGTGCCCTGCGACGGCATTGACGCCTGCTGCTGCCACCACGACGCCTGCTACTATGACCACAACCGCTGCGTGGAGAAGAAAGGGTATGTTTCTGAATTTTACTTTGAGCAAACAGTCAAGTCTTGAATTTTACTTTGAGCAAATAGCCTTGTGATCATCCACTTCCATATCAGAGTCAGGATCATGCCGTTCATCTGGAGCATCTTGATCTGCTAACACGTGCAAATAGAAGAAAGGAAATTACCACTACTTTTACCTTCTATCCATTGCACAATCTCTGAAGGAGTGATACTTTGTAAGCAGAATGCAAAGAAAACAATTGTTCCTACCTGCTACCTGGTGAACTGAACTATGAAAGAAAAGAAGTAAACTGAGCTAACAGGCAAAATGAACAGATTCCGTAGGACTTGAGCAAAATAGTGAAAATGTAAGAATTGATGTAGTGGAGGTGGGCATAGCTGACGAGCAGTCTAGTGAATCTAGCAAAATGTACAGTGATAATAAAGAGTAAGAATTGACCTTACAAAACCAAACCATTTTTTGAATCACAGTTTTCCTTTGCCAGAAGCAGACTTGTGCACCACTGGACGGCTACTGAGTAACCAGCAGACATATGTAAGAAAGAGTTCTCTTTTTGAATTATAGTTATAACAAAGCACAGTCACAACAATAAACAAATGGAGGATAGTGCTCTCATATATGATGGCAAGAAAATAGTTGAATCAAAGTTAGCAGATGTGCAGAGTGGCTGAGACCAATTGCTAAATAAAAGTGTTGGGAGTCAAACTAAATCGATTTCACCTTTAATCAGCTCTTGAGAGCAGCAACGCTACAAGATAGAAATATCTCTGAGCAGCAACACTACAAGATAGAAGTATCCCCTTTACAAACTGGCATGACAATTTAAATTGGAGGTTACATGTTTCCTGCAGGCTAAGTGCTTCAATAAAGGCTACATGTTACCCTTACAAAAAAAACTTTGTTCTGGCTCTGTAAAATTTCTGAAAGTACACTGAGAAAAGAATAACAAAATATAAGGGAATGGCTATAGGCAAAGGACCCTGACGCATGCGAGCAATGTGTTTAGAGCAATTCGTTTAGGAAAAAACATGTGAATTTGAGCTCAGCAGTCAAGTGTAATTGAATAAATAATTTAAGCATCGGTTAGAAATATGTATAGCTTTGCAACGTTTAAAGGCCAGGAGATTTGGCACATTTATCCGAAACCAAAAAGATCTAATGCAAAACCGGCCAACCGCATCTCTAAAATAAAAGCTGGGGCATGCTTAGTGGATTAGTGATTGAGGGACCACCAGCTACCGGAATAAGATGGATTCATGAGCTTCCTGAATCAGTTCAATTGGAATACTAAACCTTCAGGTCATATTTTTCCAAAGATAAGCAACACTCAGTGGCGGAGTGGTGGCGGCAGTGGCGGAGCAGCGATAAAAGAGTAGAGCACCAACTGTGTGAGCTGGTGAACACCTGCAACAACACAATAGCCAAGTTGATGTTATAGAGCAATATTGAATATCCAAATTCATTCCAGAACAAAATGTGACATTCTTCTAGCTTGACTACACGAATAAGGCTTGATGCTTTAAACAAGCACTGAGAATACAAATGGCATAGTGCAGTTTTGGTACATAGGAGAGACATGACATTCAAAGTGTTAATAAGAATCATTCGTTCATATAAACTTCTTTCATAAAGTATAAACTTTATTAGAACATAAATTGAACGATGACATGTATGGTTATTGAGAGCTATGAAATCTACTAATATTCCTCTTGCTGATTTCATCTCTTAGACATTTTTGTTTCACGTAAAACATAAGTGTTCATAAAATCAAAAGTTCTAGCTAGCACCAGCAGACTAATCATGCCCTTGCAATTTATCTCAAAAGTAGACTGAAGAACACACCTGAGTAGCAATGACAACAGTAAACTAGGAAAAGAACGATGGATTAGCGTCTATCAAATGAACTGGAAACTCCTCAACAAACTTGGCTTTAACAGCGTCATTAAGCTCTTGTAGGAAAGAACATATAGATTTAGCTCTTGGTTGCCCTAAACATCCTTCATCCACTGCATGCAAATTTAAGGTCCCAAAATATGAGTTCCATCAATTTCGTGGGGATGAATTCAGAAGAATAGGTGGAATCACAAAGCGAAGAAATTACACAGAAAATTGTTCCCCAGATCAGATGCTTCAACTTTGGAGCCATCAACAACAGTCACACTTCCTATTCCTCCAAGCACGAGGTTCTTCAACGCTTCTGTTCCAGTAGGACCACAGTTAAGCAAGCATATGCTAGCCTTCTCTAGTGCAGCCTGACCTTGATCACCCCATATCCTGCGCTTTGCAGTTAACACGTAACAGGTGTCTTTCAATATCTGGGCATGCAATCCGATCAAGTAGGCAGTAGAATAATCTGGAAAAATAACAAGCTTGTACCTAACAAACTACAGGTTAAATGACAGAATGGATTTCATTAGTTTTAATAAACAATGCCTTGCAGTTCGCAAAAAATGCAACACTCAGTTTGTAGTTGAGTATGTAATAATGCATTGCAGGTCGCAGAAAATGCAAGCACAGGCAAACTGTCTTTGAATGCCACACGAAAAGAACAATGAAATCAAAACCAAAGGAAGGACAAAGACAAGCATGTTCTCATTTTTCTTCTTTTTTTTTTTTTTTGAACCAGAGATTCATCTAGCTGTACATCAAACATGTCCAAAAAGAATCAGGTTTTGACTTATCACTTCCAATAGAATACCAGGGCAAATTCAACCAACACTAAAGATCATTTGTAAAGTTACATTTCTGATAGCTAAACACTTGTTGCCAATCACTTTATGTAGATAGTTGAAGACTTGAAGGATAAAACTAACTAAAATAAATTATCAATCATCCAATTTTTGTTCATGTTGGCATAAATGATATATGTTCAATTCAGCATGATAAGTCCTAACATTCAGACTGATTGAGGCCATGGAGAATAACACTAAGCTTGAAAATAGCATTAAAGTGTGCTTCAAATAAAAGAATATTCTGTGGCAAAAGCCACTCTTAATTTTTAACTATAACACAGTCTCTGATATACGAATAATTCAAATGAACTGAATATCAAACAAAATATGGATGAGAAGAAATCTAAAAAAAATGTGGAAACTGGAATGTGTGCACTGTCTTCTCATGCCACCTCAGCTGAGAAGCATAGCACATGCATGTATATCACAACATTGAAACACATAGCACGTCCACTGTATCATTCATACACATAGCAAATGCATGATATGCAGTGTAATATGCCCTGGTAAGGCCTGAATTCTTTTTTTTTTAAACCACATGGCATAAAAAACTAGAAAAACATTTCAACCTACAAAATTATGATATGCTAGTCACACCAAATTATAATTTCAAGATACGCTTAAGCAAAACAAATATAAACAAATTGGCATGTTATTGTCCTGCTCGAGAGAAGACACCAGAAGCAAGTAGAAAAATATAGAGTAGAGAGAAATCAATCAGGTACCTGTTGTCCTGCTCGAGGGAGGGATGCTGCAGCAAGGAATCAATCGGGTGAGCTGTGACTTCCGGTTCTTCTCCCCGGCCTCCTCCTCCTCAGATCTGCAAAATATCTTAAGTTAGGGTTCGGGTGCTGGCTTTCACACAACAGCAAGGGAAGAGAAGGGGCATGCATACCTGGTGGGTGCGCTCATCACCGGCGAAGCACAACAACAAGGGAAGAGAAGGTGGCCGGAGCGGTGGTGTACTGTCGTGGATCTGGCCAGAGGAGAAGGGCAGCCAACTTGCCGTGGATCTGGCCAGAGGAGAAGGGCAGCCAACTCGCCGTGGATCCGGCTAGAGGAGAAGAAGGGCGGCCATCCCGTAGTAGATTCGGTCGGGGGAGAAGAAGGGCGGCCACCCCATCGTCAATCTGGCCGGGGGAGAAGAAGGGCGGGCACCCCATCGGCCGGCGGCTAGGGTTCGCGGTTGGCTATGAGCTCGCACCATGCACCATGCGACCAAGCGCCACCGTGGGCCCGTCTGCCTAGGGAGCAGGGCAACCTCAGCGCCGGAGAAGGGAGGGAGGGAGAGCTCGCGTTGGGAACGGAAGAGCAGGGGCGCCGACGCCGGCGTCAGTCTATTGGGAGGAGGTCGTGAGGGAGAGATAGATGCGGGTGGATGGGGAGAGATGGCCAAGCAATGGGATAAGGCGGCCGGGGCTGCGTGCGTTTGCCGTGGGCCAGGCAAAAATTTGCGCACGAGCTGGGCGTGGGGCCCATTTTTTTAGCGTCAGACAGATCAACGCTATATCTGGTTTTAGCGACAGACGGGCTAACGCTAAACATGAACATCTATAGCGACAGACAACAAATCGTTAAATAAGGATTTAGCGTCAGATGGTCTCTGAGTTATTTTTAGCGCCAGATCATCCATCGCTAAATATAATTTTTAGCGTCAGATATTTGATGGTGAAGCGGTGTTGTGGTGTAGTGTTTCTTTTGTATCACACAAACGTTTATTTGAGTGTTATGTATATCTTGCCATGTATATTTTTTAACTGCATGATTGTTGCCGGTTTCTATGGCCTCCCCTATGCCTGGCTCCGCCTCTGGCCGCGTGCCGTACGGTTCTGGAAGAAGGGTGGTCGAGATAGGCCACGGGAGCTGGTCCGTGGCCAGCTGGTCCAGCCTGACTAAGTTGGAAGGCGTGCCTTGAGGTACCTAGTTATGTACACCCGACGCACTCTAACAAACTGTTTGGTTGGGCAAAGAAACGCAAACGTAGAGGGAACCGGAAAAACAGCGCTAACGTAAACAATGTAAGCCATTACTTGATTTGTTTGGTTTGGTACTTGTAACGGTAACAGAGCGAGCAAGAACAACAGCACAACAGATTGAAGCATCCTAAAATCTGCAACGATGTCGAGATCCAAAAGGAGGACGAGTCCTGAATAAACTAACGCCATGGATGCGCACCTTCGCTGGAGCAAGCTAGTCGCCGGCGGACAGATGTCGTTCCTCCTCGTCTAGATCGGAAACCTGAAGAAACTGCAGAGCTGAGAGAGGCAGCGCCGCCTCTCCCTCCATTGACGCCATGGATGCGCACCGCTGGAGCAAGCGGTCGTCGGTGGCCCGGACGGACGACGTTCCTCCTACTGCCGAGCGAGCGAAGGCTGAGCGCCTGAGCGGGCCGAGCGAGCGAGCCCTGTTCGCTTGACCTTATGGGTCTGATTTATTAGCCGTGATATAATATTTTTCTCTTATAACAAATTAATTTCAGTTGGCTTATGAGCCGCACAACCCATCAGTCCAGATTAAAATACGGAGGTTCGTTTCTATTGCGCTGGGATGGCGGCGTTATCGACTTTGTACAGTCCGTTATCAGGGGATGGCGGCGTTATCGACTTTGTACAGTCCGTTATCAGATAGCGACGTGGCTCGATTACGCGTGGACCTAAAGAAACCAGAGGCAACGGCATTTGTTACCGTCCGATGTTTGGAATCGAGTTGCGTTACATTTACCCGAACCAAACGCTATAAGAGCCAGAGGCAACAATAGTACTCTTGCAGCCTGTTCGGTTGGCTGATTCATATCGTTGTTGATTTGTGAAGAAGTACTGCTGGCTAGTTTGTCTGAGAGAAAAATACTATTTCAGCTAGAAACTTACGATCGTTTACGACGAACAGGCTGTTGGTCTCTCTGCCCGTGGTTATGTAGGCATAATAGCTTTAGCATGCATACATTGCAAGTAACAGAGCGTAGCAGAAAGGACCACTGGCAGGCTGATTTGTGTATCAATGGCGAAATTGTTTTGTGTCAGAATATAAAACACACATAATTGCTTCCCCCTCGACCATGGATCGGTCAAAAAGACCATCAGCCTTTTCGGCTGGGCCGAAAACGATCGTATACGATCGTGGATGGATTATTACCGCTAACTGATTTGGTATGAAGAAAAAAATACTATTCTGACTAAAAATTTACGATCGTTTACGATAAGCGAACAAGCCGCATGGCCCCGTCATGATCGATCCCACTGTCACGGTGGCACATTTCAAGGGCGGTGAGGAGAGCGAGGCACACCACAAGCTGCAGGCTGCAGCTCCATGCTGTGCTCGTACTAGTGTCAGTACCAGGCAAAAAGCCAGCATAGAGCTCCAGCATGTACACACAAGTCTCTTTTTCTTCCCCCTACTATCGCACGCTCTCTTTCCGACTCGCCTTTTCGCTGCTCGATCGATCGTGGTATGATCATCAGTGTCAGGGCCAACAAAGTAACTTCGTGCTGCTCCTCCTCGTCCTAAGCCTGCGTCACAAGTAGAAAGGACCCTTGGTACGTCAGATATCACTATCTCAGGGAACACACCTTTTCAGGGCACTAGCTCCGTTTGCCCCTGCCCTGTTGTTGGGCCGCTCGCCGTCAGCCACTGGTGAGGTAAGAGCCAGACTAATAATATAGTCAGCTGCTAGCTATATACAAATTTATAATCAATCTATCAGTCCATTTGTATAATAGTTTTTATAATCAATCAGTCCACTTGTATAATAGTTCACTGGCTTAGAGCTCACTTGGCTTAGAGCTCACTTGTCTATCTCACGTAACTTTTTGGTTTCTATGCATAAGCTGGCATTAAGCTTACAGTTCGCTTTTCTTCTCTCTTCTCTCTCTCTCCTCACGTCAGCATTCAGCCCATGTATAGCCTCTTATTATACTTGTTCTAAGGTGACCAGTCACTACTATATAGGATTATGTGCAAACTTTGACTGGGATCCACCGAGATATCCGGCTGGTAAACCGGCCAACAAATGGATCTTACTACGCTTGAGCACATACACGCACAGGACCATGTAAAAAGGCAGGAACTATATGCGTAGTAATCGTTGTGAAGATGCACCCATTTGTATAATAGTTTTTATTGGCTAGATCAATCTATCCTTTAGCATGGTCCATGGTCTTTTCAGTATTTTTCCTTCACTCCCATACTCAATTTGTCGACGCTCGGGCAACAGTGTCACTTTAGCTGGCAGCACCGGTTCAGAACCCGGTCATCGGTCATCAGGGGCGGATCTACAGGGGGGGCTGCCGGGGCTCTAGCCCCCCCTACCCTCGCCAGAGCCCCATGAAAATCTGAGCCATTATCCATGGGGAAGGAGGGGCTAGAGCCCTGGAGGTGTTCTTGACGGAGGTAGAAGAAGAGAGACCACCGGCGCTGGCCTCCTTCCCCGGCCTTTTTTATGTGTATTTGAGTGGCCACTAAATGCCCAATAACTGTATCTATTGGCAATGGCAGCCCATCAAGAAGGAAGGCCTTTTTGTCTCAAGTTTCTTTGCCGATTGGGAGGGAGCAGGCCTGCAGGGGAGACAGCTGGCATTAAGCTTACTGTTCACTTTTCTTCTCTCTTCTCTCTCTCCGCCGAGAATCATCGCATTCAGCATTGACGCGCAGCCCTTCAGCCCATGTTGAACTTTCTAAGTGTTTCAAATTTCATTACAAGTTTTAATTAATTGCAGATTGTTCAAAATGTCCAAAAGAACATTACACACGTATTTTTTCTCGGGTTCAAGTACATCAACTCCGTGCACTAAGGTCAACCAATTCGGCGTAGACCAGTCACTTGAAAGCTATCCACATGAAATTAGAGACCAAGTTAGAAGGGCATATGCTTTGAGAGGTCCGACCCAACCTCGTAATCTTACTTTTGCAAAAAAATGGCAAAGTGGTCAATGGAGATCATTTCAAAGAATCTTGGTTTGACGAGTTTGATTGGCTAGATATAGTGTGACCACCAGCTTTATTGCTTATATTGTTATCTTTCTTTGATCCCGGAAGCCTGAAAAATTTGGTAGTTCTGTCTTTGCAAAGGATGGTTATAATAACTGGAAAAAAAAGCTAAGGACAATCTTAATCAACACAGCACTTGCAAGACTCACACTAATGCTATGCTAAAGTGTGATGACTTTATGAACCAAAGAACAAATGTGGCTAGAAGAATTGATGTAATTAGCAAGGAGGAAGAGAAAAGATATGGGATTCAGGAACTCTTCTTTAGATGTAGCAAGATTTCTCATAATGCAAGTAAGCTTTTCGTGGACATGATGAGTCCTCTACTGCACCAAGGGTTTCTATAGAGATGGTTGATTGGTACAAAGATAAAGTTGAGATTGTTAAGGATGCATATGATAAAGGCGCAAAAAATTGCACAATGATTTCACATCATATACAAAAGGACCTTACAAAAGCTTGTGCACAGGAAGTCATGTCAGTGATTATGGATGAGATTGTTCTCTCAGCTGAGTCCCGAGATGTATCAATAAAAGAACAGCTGTAATTTTGAGGTTAGTAGATGACAACTCTATTTTTTCCTCGACTTTGATTTGTACACTTGTACTAACATGAAATAAAATATGGTTTGCAGGTTTGTGAATGATGAAGGGAAGGTGATGGAGAGGCTCCTTGGACTTCAGCATATTGGTAGTTGTACAGCTGCTGCATTGAAAGAAGCTCTAGTGAAAATTCTTAACAGTCATAAGCTACCAATCTCTAGGCTTCGTGAGCAAGGTTATGATGGAGCTTCCAATATGAGAGGTGAATTTAATGGTGTGCAAAAATTGATTCGAGATGAAAATCCGTATGCATTCTATGTGCATTGTTTTGCTCATCAATTGCAATTAGTGGTTGTTACTGTTGCTACTTGTACTCGGCAGATTTCTTTAACTATGTTCCTCTAATAGTCAACACCGCTTGTCGTGCATCATGTATGAGAAAGGATGCGGCTTGCAAAACATCATGATGTGTTGTTAGAAAAGTTAGAGAGTGGGGAGCATTGGAAAAGGTTTAAACCAGGAATGTAGCCTAGCAAGGCACAGATACTAGATGGGGTTCACATCTTAAAACTTTACTTCGTATTTTGGTGATGTGGGAAAGTGTCATAGACACTCTTGAGATAGTCAAGAAAGACTCATTAAACCAACAAGTAATGGTGGAGCATTTGGTTTAATTGGTAAAATGGAGAGCTTTGATTTTGTGTTCATAATGCATTTAATGATAGAATTGTTGAGCATCACAGAGAGTAACGTGCTTTGCAAAGGAAGGATCAAGACATTGTTGAGGCAATACATTTGATCATGGATGTGAAAGAGCGATTCTGGGATATATGAGGGACAATGGATGGGATCCCTTATTCAATAGAGTGAAAACATTCGTGTTAACTATGAGATTGAAGTGCCGAGATATGGACAAGGAAACAAATGCTAGAGGGACATCTACATCGAAGAAAGCAAAAGGCAACAAACAAGCACTTCTATCATGTTGAAGTTTTCCTTGCTTATATAGATGCCATTTTGTCTCGAGATGAATCATCGATTTGGTGAAGTTAGTTCAGAATTATTAGTCTCGCATGGCTTGTCTTAACCCAAGGAACTCCTTCTCAAATTTTGATGTGGATAAGCTTGTGAGACTTGCTCAAATTTATGCTGCGGATTTTGATCTTGGTGACCTTGCTCGTTTGCCTGCTCAACTTAGAGGATTTGTCAATCGTACTAGAAGAACTCCAGACTTTCTTGGATGTACAGAGCTTGAAAAGGTTGCTGAAATTATGGTGAAGACTAATATGAAAATATCTTATGGATTAGTTTATCGGCTCATTGAATTAACATTAATTCTTCCGGTGGCAACAGCATCAGTTGAAAGGATATTTTCTGCTATGTCTATTATAAAGACAGATTTGCGTAACAAAATGGGTGATGAATGGCTCAATGACTTGATGATATGCTACACTGAGAAGGAGATATTTAGAAACATCAAGAATGATAAAATCATAAAAAGATTTGAAGACATGAAAATACGGCGTATGTTAGTGCCTCGGAACAATTTAGTGGTATGATATATATTATCTTCTACCTCCAAAACTTTGAAGTTATATACTTGAAATTTGTGTCAATAATAATTTATTTATTTTTCTTGTATATAGATTGCTTCTAATGATCAAGTGGAAAAACTTTAGCCGGCCACCATAGGTCATCGGTAATTGTTTTTTTTCCGAATACGGTAACTGTATTAATTAACTTACTACTCATCAATACAATAGAGAAAGG